ATAATCGACGTTTTGATATAATTTATAAAGAATTCGAATCGGAAAAAATTTTGTTATTTATCATTTTTATTTAAACCATTACAAAGACTTTTACATTATGAATATTTATTTGAAAGTATGAAAAAATCTTTTTTTTTGTATGATTTTATTTATTCATATTTTGATTATTTTAGAATTACTTATTTATTATAAGAATAACAATTGTGAAAATGAATATCACGATTGTTATGGAGTTTTTATTAAAATTCAAGATCTTATTGAAAATTTTACTGATTCATTAAAAATACTTGTATGAAAAATTCTATTTATTTATCCAGAATTCAACATAAGTTTTTCTATTCTATAGTTAAATCGGTAAAAATTAATTGAATTTCAACATGACGTGATCTAATCGGTGTTGAGAATCTTTCTAATCAATATGATCGTGTAAGTGAAAATATATTATTGATTTAAAAAAAAATTCGAATTAAAATTTTATATTTTTAGCAATTTATATGTGAAAGTTGTCTACAAAAATTATCATGAAAAGCCTATTAAACAACGAATGTTTTTCTTAGTAAATTTATTCTTTTTTTTTCTTCGGAATTATTTAATAAATTTTGTTTTTTAATATTTGTTTAGTTTTCTGATGTATTATTCTATTGTGCTCGTAGTTCCAGTCCAATACTTCAATTTAAATTACATGGAGAACTTCCATTAAGAACAATGATAGTTAGTATTTTTTTTTTAGTATTTGTTATTAATGTAAATATAAGAATTCATTATTTTTGTTTTGTAGGTTGAAGATAATAATGAATATATTAAAACTCCTATTTATTCTGATAATCGATCATTACTTGTAGCAGCAAGGTATGCAATATTTTCAATCTTTATTATTTAGTTTTTATAATAAAACTATTCAAAATTATGTTGAATAAAGATTCTCAAGCTAAACTATTAATAGGAAAATATTAGACTAAGTTTTTTTATTTCATTTGTAATATAGCATAGTAGTGTAACCAAAGGAAAAAGAGGGAATCAGTCCGTCTTCTTCGAGAAAAAATTTCTTGAAGGAGAGCATGAAGAGCTAAATTTTTGGCATATCAAAGCTGGTTTTTTTTTTTTTAACTCTGTTGGTCCAGCTTGGAGTCTGGTCTTTCTCATTAGGGAATTCATGGCTACGTGCCTGTTATAACAGCTAATAAATTTTGAAATATTAATTTAGGAATATGTAGGCCTGTAAGACACGGGAAATATTCAAAGAATCTCCTATATTTGATATTGCAACTTTTAATTCTGGACATATTACAAAATATATTATTCTATCTGTTAGAATAATATATTTTACAAACACAAATAGACAATATATTTTCTTTCTCTGATTAGTTCCGAAATTGAAAAGAATAAATGATTAGATGATTTAAAATGATAACAAAAATCAATATACAGCTACAATAAAATACAATCGTAAAAACAGAATAAAAAAACAAAAAATCAAATGATAAAGTTTTCTTTGTTTTTCTTCTTAAGCATCATCTGAAAATCTTCAATATTCTTTAATTGGTGCACTTGAAGATAATGAACAAAATCAAATTGATCGTTCAGGTATTCAACATCGTGCTAATACAACAATGCATGTTTGTTTGCATAGAAATTTATTTGTATCAATGAATGATCACAGAGAAGCAATAAAAAATCAATCAAGTGGATATTTATTATGTAAATAAGAAAATTCGAATGATTGGCAAAAATTATGGGTTGTTTTTTTTACAAATTTTTGTTTATTCTTTTACATAAAACTTATCAAGTAATTTATTAAATATTTTTATTATAGGATGAATTAATTTTATTTTAATTAAGAATGATTTTCCATTGACATCATTACCATTACTTGTTTATCGTAGTTCAATACCATCAGAAAATGATGATGATGATGTTAATAAAGATTTTGTATTTAAATTACAATTTAAAAATCATGTTTATTTTTTTTCGTGCAGAAAGTCAGTATGCATTTGATCGATAAATAATAATTTAAATTTTTTTTATTCAATTAATATTTTTTTTTCAATTAGATGGATGGATGTTGTTTCAAGTGCAACAACAACATCGACTAGTCAATGAATTTTACTGATAAAATCTCAACTATTTTTGTTTTTTTCTTCTGACAATAGGAAAAGGGTTATTATATTTTTTTTTCTCTGTAGAGACATTTATATTTGTGGTGATTGCTCTAACAATATTCATGATTTTCTTTGTTTTTGTACAAAATTTTGTTGTTGTATTGTTTGAATGCTATTAGACAAATTAAATTTTTATTTCTCTTTTCTTCTACAATAATATTCAAATATAAGAAAAGATTATCTGGAATGCAAATATTTCTATTGATTATTCTTTATATCTATTTGTTTTCTAAACAACCATTGGTTCAAATATTGGAGTATTATTAATAATACTTTGAAAATCAAAACATGTTAAATCAATTGAATGATATTTAAAATCACTTAAATATTCTGATATAGGACGACCAATAATAGCTGGTACATGTTGCAAACCATGTCTATTTGAACCATTGGCAAAACTAAATTTTTTTTGTGTAGGTGAACCAATGATAAAACTTTAAAAAAATAAAAAAAAGGATAAAAGAATATTATTTGAAATAATTAAGAAAAGCTGTTAGCGCAATACCTACGGGATTAAAATGTGAAACACGATATAGTTATTGTGTCTGATGGCATGGAAATAGTTTAGATCTATGTCTATTATGGTCTGGTCTGTGAGACTGCCGATCATAGTCTAGATGTTATTCACAAAGTTGTCTGTCACGGTCTATGACAGTCTTTGAACTATGTCGTTCACAGTCTGTGATGGGTAATTAATTAATTAGACGCTAATTAATTAATTAATTAAGATGTCGGTCACGGTCTGCAGGAGGGATCTATATCACTCTGCCAATTCCTCTTCTACCAATAACATTCAGCTAATTGGCAATGTGTCACAGACATCTCACCCAGACTCTCTCTTTAAACTAATTTTTTCTTATTAAAAAAATGATGTATATTTACAGTGGACAAGTATTATTTTTTTTTAAAATAATGTCTCATTTGACTGCATTCTGGATTTTGAAGAAGCGATAAGCTATAAACCATTAAGAAAATAACAAAATTATCTTTAAGTTACATTCGAAAACATTTTCCAAAGTTAACTTAGGAAGTTCAATTGGTAGTGTCAGTCAATTGGCAGAAAGTCATGTGACATTGTGCCAATTAAAAAACAAAAGTTTTTCAGCGCAGCCCTTTGGGGCTAAAATGTGGAACTCACATATTCTAACTGTTTGTCACTAAGAGTAGCTATATATAATTGGTAGTCTATTTGTAACGAAAGGAGCTTGAAAAGTTCGACTATTAACTAATGTTGATCTGGCGTCTATTCGCAATTAGTGGCAACTATCTGTAATGGGGGTGAAGGCTTTAAAAAAACTTCAAGTAGTAACCAATTTTGATATGGTGCCTATTGGTAACCAACGGTAACTGTCTGTAATGGGAGCCTGTTTGTAAGAGGGGGGGGGGGGGGAGGGGTGCGGTCGGGAGGAGCTGAAAAACTTTGCCTTAAAACTTACACTCACATTTTTCTATGTCAGTTCCACAAAATTTATTAATTGGCAGAGATTTTGTGACGCAGTACCAATTTCTGGAATTGGCAAAAAAGGGTTTTTCCTGCAGTGGGGAGGGCGGCGGGGCGGCATTGTTTACCCTATACACTTCAACACTCTCTTTTAGATCGTGTTTCACAAAATTGATTATGTACTTCGGCATAATAGTAAAGTAAGTTATTTAATAATAATAATAATAGAAGAACATTTTTTGAGAAATTGATTATGGTTTTTTTGTAGCCATCGATTGATAATCAACGAAAAGTTCATTTAGCCGATTATGGTGTTGAATTATAAATTAAAAGTACTGAATATAAAACCACTGATGATTCCAAAGTGGGTGCTTTATATTTTGATTTGTGGTACTTTTCTTTGCAGTAGATAATTAATTGAGAATTTTTCTTCGAAATTCAGAAAAAGTAAATGAAAACAAAACTTCTTATATATTCATATAAAATAAAAAATAATCATAAGTCAAGAATGGAGTTCCTATTGTAATCTTGAAATTGGTTCGAAATTGAAATTTTTAATTTAATAGAAAAATCTGTGTTCAAAGTTCTTTGAATGTAGAAAAGTATTTTTTTTTCTATCAAGTTTGTCAATGAAAATTTTAGATTCGTGATGATCAATTGAATGAAACATCATCAAAATCCGGTGATGAAAAACAAGAAGAACAAATTCATGATTTTGTTTTTCCTAAACTTAACGGTTTTTAAATGATATTAAATTTTCTTTTTTTGTATTAAATCTCTTTTGTTTTTTTTTCTATTTCTTTAAAGAACTTTATCCTGATAAATAAAGTGAATTAAATGATTTTTGTACATATCTTCTTGATAATTCAAATCTAATGACACCACTTAAAGCATGGCAAATGCAAGATCTTAGTTTACAATGTGCATATCGTGCATTAAGTGAAAAAAACATCTGAAGAAACATTTAATACATTAATTGAATTATCAGAAAATTTTCCATCATGTGCTCGGTAAAAGAAAATCAAAGTTTTCATTTTTTTGTTCTTAATTTATCTATTTTAGTCTTTTATCAAAAGTTAAA